ATCTAGGGTATATTATTAGCAGTCTCAGGAAAAGACTCCTACGAATTTCAGGTGCCAGTAAAAGTTGTTTCTGGTGTGCCGGGAGTTTGACTAAATCTCTTAAAATTTTGATGTACTCAGTAGGTCATATAGGCACCCGATGAGCAAAAATCATGAAGCACTGAGTACGTCATATAGGCAGTCAAGGTGTAAACTAACTATAATAACACTTTTTTTACAGATTTCTTATGAAGACCTTCCTCATTTGGGCCCAGATCACCAGAAGACATTTTCTTGCCGGGTCACCGTGGGAGAAAGGAGTTTTAAGGAAGGCTCTGGAGCTACAAAGGTTGCGGCAAAAAAGAACGCTGCATTACATGCTCTTGAAGGCCTGTTCAACATGCCTGTTGAATTAGGTAAATGACAAACAAAACTGTCATAATTTTGCGAACTGGCACTAGGTGATTTCTTTTTACGTTTGACAATATTGTTAGTCAAGACATTCTCAATGGAAAATAAAGATATTAAATTTTAGTCTGTCACTTTCCTAGATATACAGCAAGTTAACAATAAATATATAGAGTGTGTATCATGGAGTAACTGTTGAATAGATGACTTGAACTCATTGAATGTTGAACAATTGACATCTGTTACAGTAAGGTTTCTGTACACATGGAAACTCTTCCAAATGTTGCGACTTTAAAATACTTTGAATACTTTGAAGCAGATTTCAAACCATTTCCTCTAAAACATTGTATTGTAACTCTATTTTACATCCCCTCTCTTGTTATGTTATCACTTTTAAATATCAGGTGTTATAAAATTTTCCTCGCATCAATCGCCCGGGTAGGGTAGCTACATGTATACAAGTTTGAAGGTGGGGATTCTAGGTTGATGTTAGTTTTTCTTTAGCTCACAAACCTGGTGCTGGTAGCAGTGGAGGTGGAATGACAGTTGAAAGGCATCCAGTGAGCATTCTGAATGAATATGGACAAAAGAAAGGTGTCAAGGTAAACTCACACCAGTTACCAGTACATTAATTTTTTTATATTATATTTTAAAGCAGCACACCCCAGATTATACTAGAGATAACAAAGGATGTATAGTTTTTGTCATGAAGTATTAGATTTGTACATTGTTTCAGTTTGTGAACATGTTAAGTTTAGAAAAAATTACAAGTACTATATCGGTGCCACGATTTAAACTTTAGGAGCAGCTTTTTATGTCGACAAACAGGTTATGTTGTTGTTTGTACACGCAGATGATGTATTACAAAATGATCATGTCAGGCTACGATTTGGGAAAAATGAAATAAGTGCCCCCCCTCAAATAAGCGCTCCCTGCTTCCTCTCCCTAATTCAAGGATTTACGGTATTCTTTTTTACTTTTATATTTTTACATTACAGGTTGAGTTTGAAGACCAGGGTCATACAGGACCAGACCACTTCAGGACTTACAACTTCAGAGCTGTTGTTGGCGACATGGTCTGTGACAGTGGCATGGGCCGTAGTAAGAAGGACGCTAAGAGGGAAGCAGCAGCCATTGCCCTCAAGAGCCTGGGTTACCAAGTCACCTCTGGTGAGAATAACACTGCTAAACTAAGTTTATTGAAAGCAACAGGCCCGTGCTTTTAGCTGGGTTCTGGAACGTAAAATGACTAAGAGTATTGCTATCCTCCCCCGGTTGGGATGATAGTTCGTCAGTGGTATACCTCCCCCCTCCCCACCTCAGAACCCTTGGTTAACATTTCTTCTGAGTCTAATTAACCTCCTTGGTGCCAAGAGAAGCAAGTATGTTCCCCATGAACATAGTTGAATGAACTAAATGTGGGCTTGGTTGTGCTGTATTTGAACTAGAATACTAACTTAGTAATAGCTCTAAGCCTTATTGCTTTATATTCATGGAAAAGTTGTTTATGAGTTAATAAGTCTTCGAACACTCTATTCCAACAGAACCAAATAAGTCAAATCCTGTCCCTGTGCAGAAATCTTTACATGAAATGGAAGTACCCAGAACACCTTTAACAGACGGTAAAAACAGCATCAGTGCATTGTATGAACTCTGCCAGGCGTATCACTTCCCGCAACCAGAAGCACAAGAAGTGCGACCTGAAGGAAATTTAGACCCATCTTACCACTACTGTGCTTACAAAGTTGGTGAGGAGCTATACAATTGGGGAGCTGGGAGGACCAAGAAGGCTGCAAAAGAATCTGCTGCCCAGTATGCCGTGGATTCCCTTTTGAAGCTAAAGGGGGTGCACCAGCTGTACAACCCAGGGACCACCACTGAAGGGGACAAGATTGCGGCCCTTTGTTGGAACCATCTGTCAGGTCTGAGTCGTGAGGCACCAGAAGGGTGGAGGTTTGCTGGGTACAAGGTGATTGCGGGGTTTGTGATGCAGGACGGCGATGATGATCCTTGGACTGTAGTGAGCCTTGGAACTGGAAACAAGTGAGTTTAGTGACATTTGCTCCAGCTTCTCAGCACCTTTTTGCAAACAATTTTTTTGTCAGTATGAAACCAGGAGCAAATTTAAAACTCGGGCAAACCATGCTTACCCATCTCAAAACCACAGTACCATGAACTTTTGAAAGTAACAACGCTGAATGAAGCCACTCTCTTCTCGCTTTCTGAGAGAAGAAACAAAATTCCATGGTTGTAAGCAAATACCAAAAGTAACTTGCTTCACAAATGGCCACCTCAGTACAACTTAATACGACTTGTTTTTTTAAAGAAACAATGGGAACAACAGATACAGCGTAATTATGAAGCTAATATCGTGGGTGATAAATTGCTCCTTAATTTTGGCACAAAATTTCAGCATTTATTTTTAATTTCACACCAGAAATTACAAAATTGCCATGGCATTGTTTGGCGCAAAATTTCTTAATACAAGAAACAAGTCAAAAATCCATGGTGAATGTAATTTGTCACCCATGATATTAAAGGGTAATCAAATACATGTAGTATACTCTTGAAATAAGAAATAATTTCACTTTGCATTTTGTGGATATCCTAATAATTTTGCGAGCCTTTAGGCAAGGGAAATTAGAATTTTGGCAAAATGCGTGTGAGTATATTTCCTAATTTCACTCGTCATCCCTGTTCCTGTTGACTGGCAACACTAATTATTCTTCAGTTTCAACTATTGGGTTATAATATTACATTATTGTATGATTAATAGAGTCGAACCCCTATTAAGCAGCCACTTATACAGCCACCCTTATTAGGTAGCCAGTAATCGAAGTCCCGATGAGGGCTTTTCTACTGATTTTACCTGTATTAAGCGGCCACTATCCATTTTCCCGAGGGTACACGTTTAATAGGGGTTGAACTGTGTTATATTATGATATTATTAGGTGCATTAGCGGGGACCAGCTGCGCATGGATGGATCAACAGTGAATGATTCTCACGCTGAAGTTATCGCGCGGAGGAGTCTGATAAAATTCCTCCATTATCATTTAACAATCCTGCTGAGCGGTAAAACAGATGTGAAGAGCATCTTTGTGCAAAAGGAAAGACAAGGAAAGATTCAGTTGAGAGACGGAATCAAGTTTCATCTTTATGTCAGTACAGCTCCTTGTGGAGATGCGGCCATCTTTGTGAATGAAACTGTTAGCAGGTAATCTGTGGAATATCTTTGCGATTGACACAGTGCGACAGCTCGAACCGGGCCACTTGGAAAAGAGTTGACTAATCAGAACGTTACTTGAGAACAAAAGATTGTGATCTTTTTCACAAATAAACCAGTAACATTGAAGAACAATAGTTCTTCAAAAAATTGAAAACACAACAAAATGCAAAGTGTTGCAAACCTCTCGGGAAACTTCCATTTTTCGACCCTAAATTTTGTTCGTTTCAGCTCAACGGTTTCGGTTTAGTTGTTGCAAAATGAGTTTTCAAGATAAATTTTTCGCGCGAGAGTTATAATTATGATAATTCGCCGTCTTGGACTGAATCTCTAAGAGTGTATATAACGCAGAGGAGTCGATAGTCGCATTGTAAATGTGATTTTTGTAGACGTTTTGTGTTGCTGATCATCTGTTTACTTTGTTTTATCTTTAGCACTGATGACTCAAGTCAAACTAAGGCAGTGTTTGGTTCCAAACAACAAGGTTTGTTGAGGACAAAGGTGGAGAAAGGAGAAGGAACCATACCACTGGATCCTCAGGATGGTATTTTGACCATTGACGGAATCCGGCGTGGCCAGAGGTTGCGAACTGCTTCGTGTAGCGACAAGATAGCCAAATGGAATGTTTTGGGTAAATTTTTTGGTGATGTAATTGTTCTTTACTTTTGTGTCCCAACGTCGTAAGGAAAGATCTTATTCTCTGAACCTTTAATCGATGAACGTCAGATACTCTTAACTAAATGGAATTCGTGTGTCTAGATAGTGTTGTTTTTAGATTCTGTTTCGAACATACTAATCTGAGCCTTAATCTTTCAAGTTTGTCCCTATCGCAATCCGTTTCCATCGTTACCATCGTTAAGCATCCTAACTTCCCAAAAGGTCCTATCATTTGTTGAGTGCTTCTCTACAAAATGAAACGATTGTTGTAAGTTATATTTCCAGTTATTTTCATTTCTTTTTGTGAGTGGCTTTTGGAAGCGCTGAGGAAAAAGTCGGACCTGTCAGCAGACAACCAGTCTCCCTCCGTCTCAGCTTGAGTCGCGTTTTTTCACTCATTTCTAGTCCTGAAGTTTCACTAACTGCTAAAAGACTGATCACAGTTTGTTTTTTTGTGTGTGTGTTATTGATTGACAGGCGTTCAAGGAGCTCTTCTCAGTATCCTCATTGAACCAGTGTACATCAGCTCCATTGTACTTGGAAAGCTGTTTCATCTAGGACACCTCAGCCGTGCCGTCAGCATGCGCGTTGAACTTGATAATGACAACAGCTTTTCAAACCAACTGCCCGGCTCTTACCATGTCAATCATCCTAAACTGGAGGCGGGGCACCTTGTTAATCAGGTTGGTTTCCATGGATACCTAACTTTTAAAGGCCTATTGGGGAGGGATGGGGGCAAAAGAGTAACAGAGTTGATAGAGCTTTGAACTGAAGTAATTCTTGCGTACTTTCATGTTCAACACCCTTCTTGCGTGGCTCACCGAGTGATCAACTTCTTCTTTCAGTGGGAAAACCGTCTGTTGGTACGCAATATGACATTCCCTGGTGCTGACAAGCTTATGGGAAATCTCTCAGAGCGCTTGTGCCATTTTTGATCGGACAGAACGACTCAGAAGATCTTTGACACTTCACGAAGATCTACCGAACCGTAAAGACATGGTTTACCGTAAACTAAAATTAAGCTTCTCTTGTTTCTTTTTTATTCATTTATTTATTTATTTGTAGGATCACACGCGTGAGATTGAAACAAAGTGTAAGACCAAGATGTTGTCATTAAACTGGTCTGTTGGACAGGACACTTCAGTGGAAGTATTTGACGGATGTCTGGGTATGGCTCAAAACAAAATGTCCAAGCCCTCTCGGCTGAGTCGCCAGGCCTTGTACGCAAGTCTTAAGGAGGTGAGATTCTATGAAGGAGTTACGTCACGGTTTGCACATCTTGAATAGTTGAGCCTAATTGTTTTAAGTTCGTCGATTGTAATCCGTGGTAATCTTCTCCATCCTTATACCATCCTTGTTCCTTTATTGTTTATTATTATCTCTTTGGTGTTTTTCTATCTTAGTAAGCTGCTATTTTCAGGTTTCCTTCAATTTAAAGGTAATTTTGTACGTGGCGAAAATACCGTGACTGAGCTCCTTAAGTTGAAAGGAATAATTAAACAAAGTCTTAGATAGATCCGAGTTATGGCTAAATAGAGGATTTATTTAAACAAATTTGTCGGTACACCGGCAACAGATAGCGTGGACCTTCTCTTATCGTGGTTTGATTTTATGAATATGTTGAGAATTACAGGAGTGATTTCCCCTTTGTTTATGTGAAAATTGCATGGTCTTTTTAAGGTAATCAAAGAAGATACCTCTTTTTTTTATTTGCATAAACTTTGCAAAAATTTTATCTCAGATTTCACTTAGCGAGGGTATCAAAAACATTTCCAAATTTGCGTATTCAAAGTATCTCAATCTTCATGTTGAAAGCATAACTTCAAGTTGTAGACAAGATGTTGTCCTAATATGCATAAAAGATCACGCTTCAGAAGGAGCTGAAAGTAACCTTGAATCCTCTGTGTTAAATTATTTCCTATTGCCGTAATTCCTCGAAGTATCATGTTCACGAGAGGAAACTGCTCGAAATGTTCCAGTTTTTATGAACCAATTTAAAAAACTCTATCGCCCTGTGTTTTGTTCGAAGAAACTTGAAGGCTTCCTTTTCTTTTTTTCTGTTTTTTTTTTTTTTTGTAATCTGTGTCATTCTTCCCCATTCTAAACAATTCTAATTCCTTTGTGCTAGGTTTCCTTTAATTTAAGGGTAATTCTGTAAATCGTGGAAAGACATCAACATTGTTATAGGAAACAGCAGCCTCCCTGTATCTTAATTTGCGCAAAATCATAGCAAAGATTAGCTCAAAGTTTTACTTTTATCCTTTGTTCTTATAGGTCGTCAAGCATAGCCAAGACCTTGGACATCGACAAATCCTGGACGCACAAACATACGGTAATGCAAAAGAGCTGGCGACAGATTACCAAAAGACGAAATCAATGCTCTACAAGCGCCTGCAGGAGACTGGCTATGGACCTTGGGATTTGATGAAGAAACCACCAGAGTTGAGTCACTTTAATTAGCTGGATATATTGCAGTCATGTTTGTGTGTTTATTGTTGATTCACAAGAGATTTTAAACAGAAAACGACATTAGTTCAAGATAGCTGAACCAAAAACGATCCTCATTGTATTTAACTGTCTTTGTTCCCTTCCTTGTCACGTCAGTATCTGAAGTTTATAGCTGAAAATGGGTCGGACGCATCCCATTCAATTCTCGAGCTGATTAATACTTTCAGATCAAAATTTCGTGAGGTTTCAGCAGGTTTTAACACTTATGTTTGGTGTACATTTTTGACAGATTTTAATAATTTTAAACAGGTGTAATATATTTGAGATGTGCACAGTAGTTCATGGTTTACACGGTCGAAGACCGCAAGAAAGTTTAAATATTAGTAGCATGCGTCTTGTAAAACACCTTCAGTAACACGAGAGAAAAACCAACCAGGGACAATCGGGAAGTGACTTGAAACTTGAGGGGATCGTTTTCGGTAAATCTTCCTTGAAACCGTCGTAGTATTTTTTTTTTTTCGATTATCATTGTCCAATCAGAAACAGGTACTCCGATTTGTTGTCACGATTGCATAGCGTCAGCAGTACGTGTTGCTTGCTGACGCCACTGAAAATCAACGGGTTCAGTCAATCCAGTTTCAACGATGAATACATGAAGCTCTTTCTTTTATTTTGTTTGCTTCAAAAGCAGTTTTTGTATTGTGAGTTTTTATAACCAATTTTTAGTTAGATCCCTCAAATGAGATTAGAAGTTGACAACGGTCTCGTGAGAGACTCGAGGTGGTTAAAATTTATATCAGCCGCTTGATAGCGAGCGGAGATGTCTAGCAAGCGATTATAATTGCTTGATGTTCATAATACAGTAGAACCCAGCTTCCATCAACTCATTGTTACGGCGACTTTAGTTTGGCCTAAACAAAAGCTCAGTTAGTCGTTTTCGCGTCAAGAACCGCTTTTATACGACGTTATTTTGGTGGCGTGTTTGAAGTCGCATAAATGGGATCGTAGCATTTGGGAAAAAATAGTCAATAGTTCTCTCAGAGATATTGGAAGTAGTGGTCCTTGCTTGCTTTCCTTCGTATTTCTTCGCTTGCTATATATAGTACTTAGTTTTAGAATGAAAATTACAGTTTTAATCCACTGGAAAATATATAGACTACTAGTAGTACTTCTTTCGCTTAGTCCGTCCTGCGTGACGCGAAAGAAAACCGCGAGAAAAAAATGGCCGACCCCAGGAGTCGCGAGGCCATTTCTTCTTCACAGTTTATTTACGGTCACGTTCGATGGACTATTAAAGCGAACGAGGGACTACTCGTAGTCAAGAAAAATATAAAGAATATCTTGTTTTATATAGATCTAGTTATCTGTACAAAATGATTAAAATTCAGACGTAATTACTGCTTATTTATATTATATACATGTAAGGGTACATTTGTGCTCTCTCTTGGGTTCTTGCATTGTGCTGGACGAGCGTTTTAATGGCGTGGGATTCCGAACTGGTGAACATTTTTACTTATTGTGATGGAATGTTGTCTTGTTTCACGCAGAATAGAGCATTTTATCTTGAGTGTCGACAATGTTTCGATTTTTCTTTGGTTTTGCACTGCTACGCTAACTCGCGCCACTTTGTCACTCAGATAAAACCAAAACCAATCTTGTTTCGCTCGCACACTTTTTCCCGCGCGATGCGTCGGCAACACGTATTTGCTCTGAGTTTTGATGGGTTCATTGGATTGTCTGTGGCCTTTTTGATTGGCTAGAATGATTACTATGGTTTTGGTTTTACGACACTCAATTGAAAACCGCTCTAACACGTATTCAATTGTAGGTTTTAATTACGTTCAACAAGTAAAGTGAACGTTTGCGAAAATCAGTCGGATATTTGATTTTACATTTTTAGACCAATTATGATAATGAAATTATCAACATGACTTGTACAGCGTTTCCTGAGGGATGTGTGTGTGGGCAAGTAGAGAATCGAATTTAATTTATGTCACATTGTTAGTAACCAAAGGTACATTTATATGTGGAGTGTTATACATTAAAGTTCTTCCATGTAAGAATTCACCTTCCTTGTTGAGTTTTCTTTTGTTGCTTTTTAATTTATTTCTAAGGCAATGATCATACCGAACTCGCAAAGTGAAGCTCAGTTGAAGGTCACCGTGTCGTTGAAAATACTTCTTCAAATGTCATACAAAGAAATTATTACCCTAAATTTTCTTGGCGCGAAGATGAACTGCAAAAACGTTAAAATGGCGCGTTCCTCCGTTGGCATTCGAACTCTCGTTGGGCCGAGTGGTTATGTTAGGGTTAAAGAATGAATCAATATCATTTCAAGGAGGTAAAAACGTGGAGAGATCAGAGGAAACTCAACAACACTAAGCAATTCAGCAACCTCGTTTCCAGGGTCTCTCTTCTTGAAGGGGAGAGAGAGAGACTGCAAACGTTGCTCGCACAAAATTAAATTTTTCCCGCCAAAATAACAAATCTCTCTTTTCTCAAATAACGCGTCCTCCTCAACAACCCTTAAAGATGAAGTCATCTCCGGTCAATAAAATCGTTGAGGTTCTACTGAGGTAATCTAAATAAATCTTTAAATGGGAGATACACTAATCTCGTTCCGCGAGTCTTCGTATCTTATTGCGGAAGCTCTCCGACCGCTGATCAAAGGGAACGAAGACCTTGTGTACGAGGTGTACAAAAGTACAGATATGACGAGCACGTGCTCACAGAAACCTAAGTTGTTGAGACTTCAGTAAAATAAACAAAAGATTATTTTACACGTATAGACTCAAAAGTGTTTTTTTTTTTTCTACAATGAACATCCAGTATATGCATCTGAACAGAACAGTTTTGAATACAGAATACTCCGTAATACACAAAAATGGAGTCACATTAAAGCGATATAATCTATTCGTATAAAAGCTGGAAGTAACACGTGTTTCATTGTCCTCGGTATCTAAGGTGTCTGTTCGCTTCGCAACGCAACCGGTCAGAAGCTTCCAGACAAATTTGAATTCAATTTGGAATGAATAATATACCCTATTCTTCTCTTGTGTTTTCGTTCTTAACGCATTTAGTTTACACAGCTTTAAGTTTAGAATACTGACGTTAAAACGTGCGAGGAAATGACTCTCTATCTTTTTAAATACCGTTTGACTGTTGTTACATACGAGTGTCTACGCCGGAATATGCATTTATTCCACGGTTGATATTACACGACAGCATTGTTTTTTTACGGCTTTCAATGTTCCGAGATTAAAAAGATAAGTTATTCACTGGCGCACTCATCTCAATAAACATAGCAAAAACGAAATAATTGTCAGAGGAGAGCGTCGCAGTCAAAAGACACAATCGTCATTTTCTGTTTACCATTTCCCGGTGTCGCCTTCAAGCCCCGTCTCCAACGTGCGGGCGAAAAATTGATGTGTTTTTCCACGTCCCACTGTTTGAAACACTTCCTTCCCTGGAAATTCGTTAAGAATCTTATTTACCAGTAAATAAATTCCAAACGTCTTTCATGTTCTGACATGTAACAAGCAATGATATGAAGTACGGGTTTATTACTTCCATGTACTGCGCATACAAAACCAGAAATACAGGGGCGCTCCACGAATCACAAGCGTGTATTTTCATTATACCATTTCAGTTGAAATCGCGTATCAAGCTGTTTTGTCGCCCCACGAGCTCGTTTCTCCGTGGCTGCCTGAAAATTGCGTAAATTCAGAGCAAGAACTTGCAGAAATGATAATTCTTAACGCCTATCAAACGCGTATATAAATTACATTCAAATAATATTTAACAGTCACCTGCAATGGCCGGCAGCTGAAGAGACACCACGCGTGCGCCCTTAATTCCCTTGACAATAACATGAATGACAGTTCGAAAAGTTAAAGTTTTTTTGCATGAAATTCTCAATCGCTTAGCTTTCGAATGCAAATCATGCGCCCTTTCTCGCCGCACGACTAAATGCAAATAACGAATACAAACATTGCCAAAACTCGACGGCTTTTTTGGCAAGGCTCTTTTTTTTTCTTGGAGAAAAACCATCGATATTTTTCAATTGGTGTGTCCTGTTCACGGAATCGCAGACGGATAAATTGACGGAGGAGTAATTTTTACCGCAAGAAATAAGAATGATTTGTGGAAAATTCTCCTTGCTGAAAGCATATGTTCAATTGCTTGTTTCTTGTTGACTAAGCGTGAAGGAAAGAGAGCACCTGTCCATTGGCGAATTTTTCGATTTTTTTCTACTCGGATTTCTTGCTGGGTTTTGCCCGCAAAACCACAAGAGTACCAACGTGGACTGTTAAAGATAATTTTTATGGGATTTGTGGCCGCGTTGGGGTGAAACAAACGCGCGGAGCCGATGAGGAATTCCCTTTAGAAATGAATGAGTCGAATAAGATTGCAACCAAGGAAATTGTTAGCATAAGGGAGGAAGACAAGATAGACAAAAGAGAGGAGGACCCGAGCATGCAAGATGTGGAATCACCGGGTAGTTCGAGCGATCAAGATTTCGAACTGCAAAAACAACGCAGCCAAACATCTTCTTCGCCGCCGCAAACTGCAAAGCGAAAAGATCGGGTGAGCATAAATGTTGGCGGTGTCAGACACGAAACGTACAGAAGTACTCTAAAAAATATTCCCGATACAAGGTTATCTTGGCTTGCAGATGCCTCGCCTGGCTCAGTGGACTATGACGCGGACATGGGCGAGTATTTTTTCGACCGCCATCCTGGCGTGTTCGCCAACGTTTTAAACTATTACCGCACGGGCAACCTTCACTGCCCGTTGGACGTTTGCGGGCCTTTATTTGAGGACGAATTGAGTTTCTGGGGTATTGACGACCAACAAGTCGAATCGTGTTGTTGGTTAACATACCGGCAGCATCGAGACGCTCAAGAAACGCTTGCTGCGTTTGAAGGGGTGGAATTCGACAACGATTACGAAGATGAAGAGCTGGATTTTGGAAGATACGGCTTTGCTTTCGCGGCTGAAACACAACCTGATACGACCTGGTGGCAAAAATATCAGCCGCGAATTTGGACGCTAATGGAAGAGCCTTATTCTTCGAAGCTCGCTAAGGTAGGTGTGAATAGGAGTTTTAAAAGGCACAAGGCCGTTTTTGATGCGGTGAATCTACTAGAAAGCCTTACAATTTGAGCTCATTTAAGAAGACAACACGCGTTGTATTCTGAGGTTTACAACTTACAATTAAACTCCCGACCGTGTAACATGCAAATTTCTCCCATCCATACAACGAAAAACGGCGCTTTTCTTGTCAATGATAGAAAAAGTTCGTTTCGTTTGAAGCGCGCGAGTGATATTGAAGTTTTAAAGAGTATTTTGTAATTGTTGCAATAAACGGCAACACGCCTTGAAAAGGAAGGGCAAATTAAAAACCCTATATATGCCCGAAGCGTGTTTTACTCATAAAAAATTGAATCTTCCACAATACATTTTCAGTCATGAGATGGAGTCGATGTTACAATCGTACGACTGTTACTAAACCACTCGAGAAAAATCAAGTAAATGTATGGCCTGCGAAGTTTTGTGTTGTCATAAATTTTTGAAACATTCAAAGTGATTTTTTTTCCCTCGACCTAAAGTCATATCTTGCTCGAAGCTGTTTACGTTATTTCCCGTAGCGCCAAGCACGTAGAAATATACAAAATACGCGATGAACAAATTGTGGTGTAAAAAAGATGAAAACCTCAATCGTAAATATTGTGGATTAAACGCTAGCGACGTTCCCTTTAACTTAAGATGTTGCATTTTTGAGGTTTTGCGAAAGACAAGTTGAAAATTGTTGACCTTTTGAAGAAAGGCATATTTAAAATTCATATCTGAACTAATATCTCGGTCTGCATATGTTAGTACACCACACTTAGTTCAAATTAAAAGCAGTTATAGAAGCTTTCTGCCGCGTTGCTGTCAAACCTAACTTGAAAAAGATCATTTGAGGGCAAAGGAAATTTAGTGGGTTTAGAGGGGAAAAATTTGATTGAAATTCTATTAGGCTTCGTATCATGAGTAGACCTAACTCGCTGATAGGAAATCAAATATTTATGAGACGTGCCTCCAATATGATTGCTTTATATTCGGTTCCCGGCGTGTTGTGAATTCCTCTAATCCTGAAATTGCAAAGTCCACTCGATTTAATGGTCCAAAGTGGTCGGGCTAGAAAGATCGCCAGTAACTTGCGTGCCGCGCGCTTAAAACACTTTAATAAACCATCGATTTTTATTCTGAATAAAATTCAGTTGATAAGCTGGAAAAAAAAACGCCTGATTTTTCGCTCTTTTTTGTCACGATTATGCCGAATTTCTCAGCATGTAGACTCTATGATTACCGCTTTAAAGCGTGAACGGGTTAGTTAAAATCCAGAATATACCACTTTTATTCAAAAGCAACGCAGCGGTTGAGAATTACATACACTAAAAATCGAAATATTTTCACACATTTTACTAGCTTATCGGCTCTAAAGTGTAGTTCAACTAACCACAATCTTCCAAGCCAGCAGTTTAGTACAGAAATTGAAGAGATGGATTTTCAAAACCTGTTTTCTTTGATCGTCTTTAGTTTTGGCATTGTTAGTCTTTTCAAGCGGCAAGATCAAAACAGTTCGTATCCACGGAAATATCTGTTAAATTCTCCGTATGTAGTCTAGAGTATTTTAAATGTTTAACTCTCCTTTAGCGGGGAAATTTCCCCAAAATACATTTAGCCGAAAACGTGCGGAAAAAAAATGTATTTTCCTAACACTAGTAGCGCTCGACTTCTGTTTTGACGAAATAAGTTTCGAGTTGGTTTCTTTTCAATATTTCATTTTAGTTTATTCACTCTCGTTGCCAAGCATTATTTTTAAAAGTTCTCTTTATTTGAATTAACAAGGGACAGACGCAATATTTCTTTCCTGACATTGAACGCGTTGGATTTAAGAAGTAGACTGATTCAGGCTGTTTTCTTCATGCTAAAGATAAAATCCCTCTGGTGTAAACAACTTGATACTAGGTAACCCAAATAAATTGAACCCCCTTGCGTGTTGAAAGTAAGAGCTAATGTACGCTTTGTAAAACATAAATTCCGAGGAAAACAGAAGGGAAAGATACATAAATGATTCAGTCCATTTTTCTGCAAATATTTACTTAGAGAAATATTCTCTAACTCTGAAGAATACAACAACCAGTCATTACACGACAGTAGCGTGTATTATAGGTAAACAATTGAGAAGGTTACTTACTACGGAGATATTATCACTTACTCAATTTCCACAGCTTAAGTTTTCTAAAAAGAAACCATGATAACTTCAAGCCTTTTGGCCTCAGTTTTTAAACTGGAATAAAGTTCATTCTGAAGCACCAAATTCAGATTTAAAGAGTTGAAATCGAGATTTGTACTTCGTAGCCAGCGAAATATTGGAATTAATTGTCCGTGATAATTTTTGTTAGAATTGAAACTTATCTGCAACAAGGCGAGACTATAAGCCATACTTGACAACTATAGTAATTTTCTGCTTTGAGGAAACTGAGAAACTTTTGGGCTTTTAATTCTTCAGGTGTAAAGCGAAGGCAAATGTTAGCCGTCAATTATCGCACCAGTAGAACAAACTATCCCGTGAAATTTTGTTATCCCTTCAATTCACGAGAGTGACCAAGGTTTGGATTCTCTTTACAATATTAACATGTCAGTCGCCAGTTAGGTGATACGAATAAAGAAACTCATCAAGGATAGGAACATTGTCCTGATGTATTACCAAGTTATCAGACGAACTAACATTAAAACAAGCGAACGGCGATAAGTAATAAACAACAAAATTTCAAGTGAGGTTTGCATAAGCTGTTTTCGTGATATATCAAACTCGAAAGACCGTGTTTGACCAAATCTCCAAACACTGAGAAGAGAGTTGAAAATATAATACGACGGGCAGCGGGAGCATTTTTGACGAACTTCAAAGTGTTTGGAAATGTGGTCAAACACTGTCTTGAGCGTTTGATATACCTTCTCAATCGAACCTAAAACTAGGGAGAAAACGGAGAAATGAGGTCGTTAAAATCTATGCTTATTAAGAACAGATACATCCAAACACCGTCACGGTCATGATTTCATTTGTTTAAGCTTGATGAATTATTAATGAAGTTGAGAAGGGTAATTTATAATCGTTATCTCAGGAAGAACTACACCCAATCAACAGACGTCTGATTGGTTCCTAATTTCGCGAGAAAATTCATAACCGAGCTAGCAACAACCAATCGGAAAAGTTACAGGCACCTACGTCATCGTTATGAATTTTTTGGGCCTCTGCAAGTGGGAAGGGATGGAGGGCGCGAAGAAAGAGGTTTGTTTACTAAGAGCAAGGGAAAACTTAACTTGAGAATTTATTTTTTCTTTCAGGTGATCGCCTACACAACACTAACGCTGATTGTCCTGTCTGTGATTCTGTTTTGTCTGGAGTCCATGGCGTTTTTCCAAAAGGAAAAACCCAAGCTGGCGCTTGAAATCCTGGAAGGAATCTGTGTTGCTTGGTTCACTTTAGAACTTCTGGTTCGCTTTACGTTTTGTCCAGCAAAATTGGAATTCTTTAAGAAGGTCATGAACTGGATTGACTTCTTGGCGATCGTTCCTTTTTACATTAGCTTGTATCCGGCCAACTCTGATGTTGAAATCTTAAACATTATCCGGCTAATCAGGATTTTCCGAATCTTCAAACTTTCCCGGCATTCGTCAGGGCTGCAAATTCTTGGACACACTTTGCGTGCGAGCGTGCGCGAGCTTCTTCTGCTAATCTCGTTTCTGATTATCGGTGTCGTGCTGTTTGCTAGCTTAATTTATTACTGGGAGAAAGACGAAGAGGGCACAAGATTTTATGACATACCAAACTGCTTCTGGTGGGCTGTAGTTACCATGACGACGGTTGGCTATGGTGACATGGCACCTGCCACCACAATGGGCAAGTTCATCGGTAGCATTTGCGCGGTTTGCGGCGTGCTGACGATAGCACTTCCGGTTCCGGTCATTGTCAACAACTTTTCTTTATATTACTCTCACGCCCAGGCGAGGCTCAAACTGCCGAAGAAGCGGCGAAGAGTTCTCGTGAACGCTCCGAACGCTCTGAAAGCGTCGGCAGTAGTCGAGAACGGAATGAGCGGCGATTCAAATGGCAGTTCGGATAGCGGCTGCGCAGAAAACAGCACTACTAACGGCGGAAGAAAGTGCAGTCTTCTAATCACAGATGAACTCAATGAGATAAAACCGAGACGTCCTGTTAGAAGGGACAGTCATCTGTTTAATAACACAACTACGACTTCCAATGGTGATGCAGGTACCGCCAACAGCAGGCCGAGTTACGCGATGCAGAAACGACTATCAATGAGACCAACTGTTCCTACATTACCTGAAGTAGAGTGAGCCGGAAGCTGAGATCTACATCTCAAGGTATTTGGAGTCAACGGATTGAATGGATTTAAAATGCTAGTGTATTGTTTTTTTATATCTGTGTTTCTTTTCAAGCTAAAAAAATAAAAAGAAATTGTTAAACGAGCCCGCAAGTGCGCAAATTGCTTAAAAGTGTATCAATACGATCGTGAGAATTGATACTAGATTTAATGAAGATGATAGGTTGGCGATGATGTGGTGTTTGTCTCATGAAGTGTACTCGCGGTATTCAAGCTCTTTTGTTCAAGGAGAGGATAACAGCTGACCGTGCAGTCTGAAAACTCCGAGTTCCAAGATGTTGTATTCATGATCAAAGCGGAGTGTTAAATTTTATCAACAGTTTAATTACTTTCAGTTGTTTACAGTAGTAGAAATAAACTGTTGTTACTTTAGTGGATACTCCACTGTATGGAGAGTGCTGATGTAACTCAGGCGAAGAAGCCTGGTTGTGCTGTGTTTCAGCATTACTATGTATATGTCTGGATGGTAAGCTGTGATACAGGACAACTAATCTACCTCAATACATATACTGTTTTATGCTGACCTTACTTTTTTACTCCTCAGCAGGAATAGTGAGGCAACAACCCTCGATAACCACAAGACAACGCACCAGGGGACCCACCCTAGGTACAAGAAATAGCAAGTGAATAAAGATAATTCGTTGAAACTACAACCACCCTCAGAGGGGGAGGAGTAAGTGGAAATACCATTACGCTACACACGCTGGCCAGCGGTCCTCAATGCTCAAGGGAATGAAATGAAAATGCGCCCGGCATGTTTTCAATTGAAGGCCGGAAATTTAATTCATTACAACAGACCCCAGTTTACTGGAAACATGAAAGTGTCTTTTTCGCGGGCGAAATGAGTTAGAATCATATGATATAAATATGCGAGTACAAATATTCGAAATCCAACTATATACTAAGATCAAGAAAGAGAGAAGATTTTGAAAAAAGTATTTATTTATGTATTTATTTATGTTATGCGATTGTTTGCTGATATTATTAGCTCTTCTGAACTGTGCAATTTACTCCGACACCTGATTTTAAATCAAAATTTCATTGATTATTCTGAATTCAAAAAGTAACTATAAACCAGCAGATCAAAGAGAGATGATTTAGTTTGAACATTTTTGGCCCGACTAGATAATTGATAAGACGACATGAATTTTAAGAAATGATGTTGGATAACAAATTAGTCACCGAGTGAAGCAAATAAGCCATTCAATGCTCAGAAGAGAATATATTCCTGAAAGGAATATGAATTTTAGCTAAAACTGCTCCTAAAAGAGGATTTGAGGTATTAAACCTACGCATGAACGCGGTATGTACCTGGCTTTGTGTCGTAAGAGCCCGCTGTTTCTCCAGGACAGTTACTTTGCTAGGCAACAGGGTGTATTGCAAGGAACGAACCCAAATCCTACCATGCTTTTAGTATTAAAATCTTTGGGTATTTCTCCAGACATTACAAAACCGATAGTTTGTTTTTCAATCGAAGAAGCTGTCATTTCTAAAATGAAAAGCGTAATTAGGATTGGTAAAAAAAATTAGCTCCCGCTTTCCTGAGCAAACAGATTTCTGCTTCCATGCGCCCTTAAGAGAAGTGTGAAAATTAACCTGAAAATTCCTTCAGACGATATTACACAGATCCATAAGCCGTCTGTACTGAATTGACTGCTACTTGGGAGCGAAAATGTAAAACCGATACGATACGCTACACCGAAGAATCTCGATCCCAGAGGCCGCGATACTTTTGGTCAGCACCAAGAAATCGAGACCTCAGGGAAAAATCGGAAGGTAAGCCAGCATTGCTCACAGCGGTTATTCTCTCTAAGCATGTTCAGAAACCGTTATTGAACTTGAACGTATGCGCACAATCATACGGGAGATTTTCTGGTTCTGGTTTCTGATTTTGTCAAGAGCGTTGGGCGTTCAGTCACCGCTGACCGAAAGCGCGTAGGCTCTGGGGACGAGATTACTACACCTGATTGGTCTGTGTGGAGCGCTGTGGAGCTTCGTTCTTAATATGAATTTTTCAGGCCGAATTAATCCCGGAGGTCCTTAAGCGGAAAAAGATCGATAGTGAATCGCGCAAAGCTATCATTTGCTCGGGTAAACACGCCTTTTTATTTTATCTCTTTCGCCTTGCGTATTGCCCGATCCGAATATATCGTACAGGAAAACACAAGGTTGTTCTTGATTATCAAGACAATCGTTTGACAGAAGATGTTTATATAAAAACTTAGATATGTTCACATCCAATCACAGAATTCATATGTCAAGAAGAGTTTATATATTCCCATTTGTAAATAGTGTAAATAAACATGATTGCTATCTGGAGATATTTTCTTAGTTAGATAGTCAGACAGTCTAACCAGAAAAAAAATCATGTTCCGCAGTTTTTTTTAGCTGTTTAGTTGGTGTTACTTGTAAGTTTGAATAAAGCACTTTTAAATAGTTGGATTACATTGTATATTTTCTCATGAGATAGTGTGGAAATTTTTTCTACCGACTTAGTTTTCCTCGGAGCTTTGCACAATAAGAGATGTCATAATATCCTGACTTCCTTTCCCTGCAGGCACAAGTAAGTACATGATAACGGTATCTTTGCGCCACTGGGAACATCCGTTTCCCTCCGGTAAATCCCATATGTGTAAACATAAACGAAAACGGGGTATCTTTAGGTTTCTTTTCTCTAGTAACGTGCTGTTCCCATGTGATCAGTGTTAGAATAAAAGCATGCCTTCTTAGCCAATCAGGTTGAAGGGATCTTCCCGCGCTTGCAACCGGTGTGTTTTTCCAGAACTTTGTACGAGATTGGCTGCGCGTTTTTGTTTTCCCGCGCCTGTCAACCTGCTTTCCCGCGCAACTAACTACAAAACGCAATAGACAGACAACAATGCCCAAAGGAAGACCACACTGATCGACAAACAAATGCATTATTGTATTTACATTTAAAGAAGAGTACATATACCATGTGTGAATACTAGAAGGCAGTTTCTGAAATAAATCTTTCTATAACTTTTTAATAATATTTCTGACGGATTCCGTAAAGATAGACACGAAATTTTGAAAACTATGCGAACTATGTGAACATTATAATTCCTAAAGAACTTCTGGTTTTTAACATTCACACACTGCAGACTTAAGATACCTACTGAAACAGATTTTATAGTCAAGACAGAGTGTACCTGGGTATTTAATTTTCCATACATTCGTAATAAATGTCTCTTTGGGCTAACAATATTTAAAAAAAAAGAAACAAATACATGGGAAACGAAAACCACAAATTACGGGTATAGATTTTTCTTGACTGACAACAGCTGAGGCTTTTCTCAACGTGTTGGCTGTTTGATAGTTTCTTGGTAGATCGGGGTTTAGACAACATCAAAATTCGTCGTGGAAGGATTGACCGAACTGCGTCACGTAACTTCCGGCAAAAATCTCATGGCTCATGACGAACTCGTCAGCGGTCAATTTCCCATCCTGAATACAAAAACAAATCACGATGCTATTAATTGATTGATTATCAAGATAACAGTTAACGTTTCGGCAGCTTCTAGATTGCGTGATTGTACACCATCAGATTGTCGCATCAGACTCTCAGAGTGTCACGCGGTCTGTCGGCACGTTAGACTCGAAGGGGGAAGTAAGCAAGGCAACCGATCTTTGTTATTCGTGCCCGTGTGTGCAATTTGAAGTCCACCACTCTTATTTCAGACTGAAGTTGGTCGCGTGCTCAAGAAAGTGCTAATGATTGGTTAAATTCATCAATAAGGTACACTATACTTCTAAAACTACATAGATTTCTCTGGTTTCGGTAGAAATTGTAGGTGTTGGTGTATTTGGTGGATATGGGTCTCTTGATAATCAACTCCTGTCACACGCTGTTACTCCACAAGGCATCTTACATAAAGACCTCAACAGAACTTCATCCTTTGGTCAAAACTCTTTACTGATCAGTCTGACAAACGTCTTTCGAGACCGACATGTTGCAAACTTAAGACACCCGTTTCTCTTGCTGATTTCAATAGCAGTTTTCTCGGTGAGAGGGAAGCTTCTTTTTTCTTGTTTCATCTTTTAGAACTGTACGTTTCACGAACATATAAAATTTAACTAGGTATTAAATACCTTGTTCATATCAGCATATTCTATTAAATGTTGAGCTTCACCCAGGGCCTTATTGAAGTTTCGTGGTCTTCTCCATTCTTCTAATTCTTTCTGGGAAAACAAAAACGAAACAATTTTTCCGATAAAATAAAAGTTTTGCAAGTGCTAGATGAGTCAATCAGAAGCTTACAGATGTAACATTGTCTTGTTTGGAAACACATTCTCGAGGCACCTCGTATACGTAAGTGATGGATTAAGCAAGGCTGGGTTTCTCATCTGCTTCTTGTCCAGTCCAAACAACTGGTATTGGCAAATAAAATCTAGGTATTCCAAGAGACTCTAATCGTACTTACTAGGTTAAGGTAGCCATCGTGGTCTACGTCATACTTCTCATTAAAATCCGCTATGTATAAGGAATTAAAAGTTGGCATATCTATGTACGCTGCAAGAGAGAGGAAAACTACGTTAGAAAACAAGGGAAGAATGTAAAAAGGATAAGACAGTGTACTTATTGAATGCTTGCTTTAACTCAAAACTATATTCTCAGAAGAATTTTTAAAAACAATTTCAGAGTCAGAAGCAACACGAGAAAAGCATACATGAGATTGACTATGCAAGTTGGTATCCGGCTCGCAGGACTAAACATATTTTATACGTATGCTCGTGTGGAGCAATCTCGTTCGGGAGGGCGGGAAGATGAGAGACCCTGGAATGAGGTTAAGTATGGAATGGCATTAATTTTTACCTTGGAATAATTTAAACTAATCTTGAAAGGCCGACGCCCGGAGCGTGTGCATCGTGAAATCAGTCAAAATACTCCGTACAAGAAGGTAATGCAAGTTTAAAGAGAACTCACCTAAATACTCGTCCAGAGAAAGGCGGCCATCATGGTCATTGTCGTATTTATCCATTAATTCCTGCAAATAACGTTTAATATATTAAGAGATTTCTACTAGCTTTGGACAAAAACAGGTCTTACTTATTTACCCACCGTTATGATTCAGAACAAAAACAAGCCAAACTGGAAAGCCTAACTAAACATTTGCAATCCAGGATAAAACATTCAAACTTGTTTACACCTACCACGGCAATATAAGGCAGCATAATTTCATGTTCTTTGGGATGATGGAAATACTCGTATTCTTGGCGATTCAACATGCCATCTTTGTCTTGGTCGCTGTACCTCCATTTCTTCTTATNAAGGGAAGAATGTAAAAAGGATAAGACAGTGTACTTATTGAATGCTTGCTTTAACTCAAAACTATATTCTAAGAAGAATTTTTAAAAGCAATTTCAGAGTCAGAAGCAACACGAGAAAAGCATACATGAGACTGACTATGCAAATTGGTATCCGCTTCGCAGGACTAAACATATTTTATGCGCATGCTAGTGTGGAACAAATTCGTTCGGGAGGGCGGGAAAATGAGAGACCCTGGGGATGAGGTTGAGTATGGAATAGCATCAATTTTTACCTTGGAATAATTTAAAACTAATCTTGAAAGGCCGACGCCCGGAGCGCGTGCATGGTAAAATCAGTCAAACTACTCCGTAGAAAAAGGTAAGTATATTAAGGATAGCTCACCTAAATACTCGTCCAGAGAAAGGCGGCCATCGTGGTCATTGTCGTATTTATCCATTAATTCCTGCAAATAAGGTTTAATATAGTTAGAGATTTCCACTCCCATCGAGCTTGACAATACCGAATAGAGTCATTTTGGACAAAAACAGGTCTGACTTATTTACCCCCTGTTATGATTCGGAGCAAAAACGAGCCAAACTGGAAAGCCTAACTAAACATTTGCAATCCAAGACAAAAACATTCAAATTTGTTTACACCTACCACGGCAATATAAGGCAGCATGATTTCATGTTCTTTGGGATGATGGAAATACTCGTATTCTTGGCGGTTCAACATGCCATCTTTGTCTTGGTCGCTGTATCTCCACTTCTTCTTATCGTAAACAACGTACTTTTCCAGATTGGATCTTTCCCATCTGCTGTGCATATCTGTCAGGCAGCGAATAATCATTCGTTAATGATCCAGGAAATAAGGCTTGTTCTTCGGAAGAGATAACGAAGAATATCGAAAGAGACAATGGGCTATAGCTAATGCAAGTTGATAAAATATCAGGCCCCGTTCATAGTACGCCGCAGAAATTTGAAAACAGCGTTTTCACTCTGAAACGCATTACATGTTTCCGTCCACACTACGCTTGGGAAATCTAAAAACGCGACAATCAACGTTCATTTTGGATTTAAGTTTGACGAAAACTCGAGCAGGGAAATCACAAGATTCTCGTAACATCATCGTTTTCGAGAAGCTTCGTATTCAAAATGTATTCCGTCTACACTAAAACGCAAAGCCGGCGACGACGTTTTAAATTCCTTTGGTTTGAAGAGCGTTTTCGAAAAGCTCTGTTTTCGTGACGGATTAGTGTGGACGGTAGGCCTAATAGTAGAACTAATATAAAGCTGGGAGTTCAAATTTCTCCGTCATAGTGTGGTCAAGGCCTCACTTTGGTATGAAATAAGATACAAAACACATATTTATGAGGCCAAGCTTGAACGAGGATGTGGGAAATAATACACGTTGATCTAAAATAGCCCAAGAATTTTAAGAAATTATTATCTCTTGTTAAGCAGACCGAGAAGAGCCCCTCACTCCTCTAGAGAAATGCGTCGTAGGATTTATTCTATAAAATGGCTACAACTGCAGTGTATTTGCCGGTGAAAAATAGCAATTGGTTACGGGCAAATTATAACGCAAACNGCATATCTGTCAGGCAGCGAATAATCATTCGTTAATGATCCAGGAAATAAGGCTTGTTCTTCGGAAGAGAGAACGAAGAATATGGAAAGAGACAATGGGCTATAGCTAGTGCAAATTGATAAAATATCAAGCCCCGTACACACTATGCCGGAGAAATTTGAAAACTGCTTTTTCACTCTGAAACGCATCAAATATTTTCCGTCCACACTACGCTTGGCAAACCTAAAAACGCAACAATCACCGCTCATTTTGGATTTGAGTTTGAGGAAAACTCGAGCATGAAAATTACATGATTCTCGTGACATCATCGTTTTCGAAAAGGTCCGAATTCAAAATGTATTCCGTCTACACTAAAAACCTGAAGTTAAAATTTAAATGCAGCGTGGCCCAGGGCACAAGCTATTTGTCAACCTATGTAAGATTAACACCTCTCTCTTCACGGAAAACTCGAAAACTCTTAGCCATGTTAGAAATGCAGAAAACATCTCAAATTCTTCTGGTTTGAAGAGCATTTTTGAAAAGCTTCGTTTTCGTGACGGATTAGGGTGGACGGTAGGCCTAACCGTAGAACTAATATAAAGCTGGGAGTTCAAATTTCTCCGTCGTAGTGTGGGCGGTTAAGCTTGAACGAGGATGTGGGAAATAATACACATTGATCTAAAATAACCCATGAATTTTAAGAAGTTATTATCTCTTGGTTAGCAGTCCGAGAGGAGCCCCTCACTCCTCCAGAGAAATGCGTGGAAGGATTTATTCTATAAAATCGCTACAACTGGTGTATTTGCCGATGAAAAATTGCAATTGGTTACGGGCAAGTTATAACGCAAACTGCAGCCATGATATTCTATAAATGTCGATATTTTTCTTAGCAGGTACCAACCCTCCTCGGTGAATCCAAACGTCCTCGTCATATACTCCTTCCACGTGACCTTGTCGTTGTTATTCATGTCCAGATCTCTAAATATAGCGTCCACGTCCTCGTCAACAGTCCACTTCTGCATCTTGTGTCGAACCCAGATCTCTAGCTCGGCCTCTTCTACAAAGCCATCCTTATTGATGTCGATACGAGGCACTAACATTCTGGTGAAGTGAAACGAGATGACGAAATCTTAGCTCGTTTTGCTTTGAAAGGCAATCATGCCTTTTGTAACAATCAAATTACTCAGACGTTGTGTAACTGATGAAAATATTTCACGGAAAAACATTTAAATGCAGGGCACCACACGACATACAAAGGCTCTGAGGAGCTGCTTCCATATTTAATTTTTTGTAGAGGGTTTCTGCCATACCAGTTTGGTAACTCTGGCTGGCGGGAAAAAAATAGCGTTACTAATCCTGCATTTCAAATTGTTACGACTTGATTCCATAGATCCCTAGAAAAATTCCAAAAAGTGCAGTCCAGATCGAATATCATTCTCCTATAACGCGGTTTTAACAAAGAACTGACTTTGAGGTGAACAAGATTTGGTGTTCAAGTCAAAAAACTAAAAAACAACATCAGCGATCGATCCGAAAGATGGAATAAAGTAAGCATAAATTTAAGTTTATTAGTTGAAGTAGAAAGATCGTTTTGGCCAGGCGACGAATTTTTCAAGGTTTTTAGAAACCCTGAAAGTCCAAAAGGCAGTGTTTAAAATTAAGCGAACCAAAAAAGACTATTCAGGCGTAAAATTGAAAAGAACAGGTTCATTACACGTCGCTATGTATAAATTTACCTCAGTCCCAGAACAAATTTAAGCAATACCACATTTCAATTGGTCATGAGAAAATGCCTGAACGAGCCACAATCGATTCGTTTTTTCGAGCTACATAACAATATTATCACTCGTAGTTCTAAAAGCATTTCTAATATGAAAAAAGTAAGCTTCTTAAATGCACAAGCAAGTGAAATCGCAGACATTAGTTACCTGTCATACAAGGACCAATGAGCAAGCGACTCGCTAAGATCTTGCTGCAGGTAAGGTACTAAGAGTACTAAGTTTGGATCGAGGTTCAATGATCATTGTAATGCACAAATCATTAAGAGAATTTTGAGAGACGCAACAGCGTTTGGAATATTTGCTCAGCTGTTTATTTGTTGAAGGAATAATTTATTTGGCATGTTAAAGAACCGCGCGTGGATTTTTTTTTTGATCAATTATTATTATAATAAATGAAAAAANGAGAAGAGCCCCTCACTCCTCTAGAGAAATGCGTCGTAGGATTTATTCTATAAAATGGCTACAACTGCAGTGTATTTGCCGGTGAAAAATAGCAATTGGTTACGGGCAAATTATAACGCAAACTGCAGACACGATGTTCTATAAATGTCGATACTTTTCTTAGCAGATACCAACCCTCCTCGGTGAATCCAAACGTCCTTGTCATATACTCCTTCCACGTGACCTTGTCGTTGTTATTCATGTCCAGATCTCTAAATATGGCGTCCACGTCCTCGTCAACAGTCCACTTCTGCATCTTGTGTCGAACCCAGATCTCTAGCTCGGCCTCCTCTACAAAGCCATCCTTATTGATGTCGATACGAGGCACTAACATTCTGGAGAAATGAAATGAGATGACGAAATCTTACCTCGTTTTGCTTTGAAAGGCAATCATGTCTTTCGCAACAATCAAATTACTCAGACGTTGTGTAACCGATGAAAATATTTCATACAAAAACATTTAAATGCAGGGCATCGCACGACACACAAAGGCTCTGAGGAGCTGCTTCCATATTTAATTTTTCGTAGAGGGTTTCTGCCATACCAGTTTGGTAACTCTAGCCGGCGGGAAAAATAGCGTTACTAATCATGCATTTCAAATTGTTACGACTTGATTCCATAAATCCCTAGAAAAATTCCAAAAAGTGCAGTCCAGTCGAATATCATTCTCCTATAACGCGCTTTTAACGAAGAACTGACTTTGAGGTGAACAAGATTTGGTGTGCAAATCAAAAAGGTAAAAAAACAACATCAGCGATCGAACCGAAAGAGGGAATAAAGTAAGCATAAATTTAAGTTCATTAGTTGAAGTAGAAAGATCGTTTTGGCCAGGCGACGAATTTTTCAAGGTTTTTTTCAAGGTTTTTAGTAACGCTTAAAATTAAACGAACCAACAAAGACTATTCAGGCGTAAAATTGAAAAGAACAGGTTCATTACACGTCGCTATGCATAAATTTACCTCAGTCCCAGAACAATTTTAAGCAATACCACTTTTGAATTGATCATGAGAAAATGCCTGATCGAGCCACAATCGATTTGTTTTTGCGAGCTACATAACAATATTATCACTCGTAGTTCTAAAAGCATTAGATCTAATATGAAAAAAGTAAGCTTCTTAAATGCACAAGCAAGTAAAATCGCGGACACTAGTTACCTGTCATACAAGGACCAATGAGCAAGCGACTCGCTAAGATCTTGCTGCAGGTAAGGTACTAAGAGTACTAAGTTTGGATCGAGGTTCAATGATCATTGTAATGCACAAATCATTAAGAGAATTTTGAGAGACGCAACAGCGTTTGGAATATTTGCTCAGCTGTTTATTTGTTGAAGGAATAATTTATTTGGCATGTTAAAGAACCGCGCGTGGATTTTTTTTTTGATCAATTATTATTATAATAAATGAAAAAA